TCGTTATGTCAAACTATATTCTCCATCTCTTCATTAAATCCTAAAGTATGTTTGTTCATATTCAGCGATCCATGAAATAATCTTCGTATATAAACAACATCCACGCATTTTTTCTTAACAACGTACATATTTTTTTACGTAGTATCTATTCGCACCGTATCTCAACGTAATTACGTGGATATAGTGGATACACATGCGCGATGGGCTACTCTACTGTCCGGTACTTATGGGGTCCAAGTTTACTTTTTTTTTCGAGCAAGCAAAGCGAGCGAGGCCCATGCGTATACATGGATGTAAGTAATACACGAATCCGGAAGTACGAGTCCCGTTAAATGGCGCTGATGTTGGTCTCAAAGTTATACCAAACAAAGCAGACAACAGTAAAGTGTTACACTACTACCAGTGTACATACGCTTAGTCCGGGTCGTAATCTGGAATTCGTGGGAGAAATTATTTGGATAGGATTTTTTTGCATGATCTTACGCAAAATGATCACCTAAAAACGAATTTGCATGTTGCCAGACTTCAAAGTTCTAAGAAAAACGTTTAAACAAAATTTTTTAAACAAATTAAAAATATTGTTTATTTTGCCCTTTTTTTAGCTTTTTTGGACAATTCTAAACTAAAAAGATATCTTGCAAATTTTCTCTAAAATCAATACTTTTCGAGATATTTATTGTACAAAGTTTAAAAAACCGTGAAAATCGCCACTTTCAAGTATGAAAAACAACAATAAAAATTAAAAATTTCGATGTTGCTAAAGTTCTCAAATATTCTTCAAACATCCCTTGACAAAATCCTAAGGCGTTTCCGGATGTTATTTTATTGCAANCAAAGTTCTCAAATATTCTTCACACATCCCTTGACAAAATCGTAAGGCGTTTCCGGATGTTATTTTATTGCAAACCCTTCATTTTTAATTTACAATCAAGCGTGTGCATCGTTACGGTCGGCAGCTGCTGGCCGCGGCTCTCATGCTCCGTCTCTTTCCCACTCACGAGGAGTACACGGAATTTACTGGCGCTCATATTTGATTTGAATGGTTAGTACATTATTCTTCTATAGTAATAGTGGGAATAAAAATCCAGTTGTGTTTTTTTAATTACGAAAATCCAATTCAACTTGGAATTGTATCAAGCGCCGTGCCGTGCCGATTTTTTTTAGCCAGATACAAGAAATTGAATTGCTGAAAAGTACAAGGATCAGGATTAGGTTTGAATTTAATTTTTGACACAAAATCACGTCATTTATTCAATTTTTCATTTAAAAAATAAGAATTCAAATGACAAAAAGTTACAACGCTTCATCAACAATCATCTTCTACACATACGACACATTTATTTTCACAAACATTTAAATCACAACCGCACAGAGCTATTCAATTCAAACCATTTTTTTTACAGTGGCATGCTTTAGTTTTACACGATTTTTTGCAGCTACATGGTAGCACAACATTCTGAGGCAAAGGACTTTTCGTCATAAATTTAGGAAATAAATTATTTTCTGACTTGCAATATCCCCATTGTGTAAGGTTTATGGGAACATAAAAAGAATATACGGCATTTTTCCATATATACGTTTGAGCAAAAACTCTTAAAGTATGTTGGAACAGACTTGTAAGCACGTGCACTGTTTTGTTTTTGTCGATTTTTTATCGTCTTGTTCTAAGCCCACTTAATTCAAATTTTTCAAAGAAGAATAATAAAGTTAGTATACGTAAACGTACAAAATTCTGTTACCATATTCCATTCTAACTGAGGCTAAACTTAAAATAATTTTTTTTATTTAAATACATGTATGTTTATATAGCAACAGTTAGGTTAACCTCATTTTTCATCAATATGAAAGATTGTATAATTATTTTTATTCCCACAATTACTATAGAAGAATAATGTACTTACCATTAAAATCAAATATGAGCGCCAGTAAATTCCGTGTACTCCTCGTGAGTGGGAAAGAGACGGAGCATGAGAGCCGCGGCCAGCAGCGGCCGACCGTAACGATGCACACGCTTGATTGTAAATTAAAAATGAAGGGTTTGCAATAAAATAACATCCGGAAACGCCTTAGGATTTTGTCAAGGGATGTTTGAAGAATATTTGAGAACTTTGGCAACATCAAAATTTTTAATTTTTATTGTTGTTTTTCATACTTGAAAGTGGCGATTTTCACGGTTTTTTAAACTTTGTACAATAAATATCTCGAAAAGTATTGATTTTAGAGAAAATTTGCAAGATATCTTTTTAGTTTAGAATTGTCCAAAAAAGCTAAAAAAAGGGCAAAATAAACAATATTTTTAATTTGTTTAAAAAATTTTGTTTAAACGTTTTTCTTAGAACTTTGAAGTCTGGCAACATGCAAATTCGTTTTTCGGTGATCATTTTGCGTAAGATCATGCAAAAAAATCCTATCCAAATAATTTCTCCCACGAATTCCAGATTACGACCCGGACTAGCTGTAGTGTACTACTACAGTTTACTGTTTTCAAAATAAACAAAACATATATTACATAAAAACTTACTCTTCACGTCTGCAGTGCTAAATGTTTTAAATATTGACCTTATTACTACAGGAGATATATCATACTTGATGTTATGATATGAATTTGATTTGAATTTAAAATTTTATATAACATTTTCATCGCTAGGTGAATTGCACCCCTAATCCCTTAAGGTTCTAATAAGGTAGAATACTCAAAAACAAAGTTATACATATACATATTAGTTATAGGTTAAATACACAGTTAATAGAAATTATGTTTTTTCCTTTATTAAAAGCGGATTAAACGGAATTCTGTTCCGATCGGGAAAAATGACAGGGAATAAAAGTTAATGTTCATACGATGGTTTAAGTACTCTAATGTATCATATTGGATTCTTATTGGAGGTGTAAACCGACTCGTAGCACCCCTAGCGTATTTTATCTGAACTCGTGTTGGGTCCAGCTGCCAATGATTTAAACATATGAAAACTGTCCAAGTTTAACTTAATGTTTAGTTTTTATTGTTCTTCGGTTAAGTAATGTTAAAAGACTGATTTAATAATGACGAGTGTTTGTAAATGTTGTGTTCTCAACTGTTTTTAAAGAAAAAATCCCGAAGTAGGAATAATCTTGCATGAATTTCCAAAATCTGTTAATCGTAAAAGTTAGTTGATACGAAGGTGTAATATAACCAAGCAGATGGGATCTAAGTCTGCTATACGCAGCGCACACTTTTTGGCATCAAATTACTTACCTACACGATTGCCTTTAAATTTAAATCATTGGCAGCTTGACCCAACTCGAGTTCAGATTAAATACGCTAGGGGCGCTATGAGTCGGTTTACACCTCCAATAACAGAACAAAAGTAAAAAAATCAGATAAAAATACGTGCTACCGTGCACACGGAAAGACCGAGATCATTGAAAATCCCCTACTACAATATTTGATCGTAAGAAATACTACACCAACGGTATATTTTTTGCTTACTAACACAAGAATTTTTAGTGTCACCTTAAGTGGTCTTAAATTTCGTGCCAAGTATATAGGTTTTAAGATATCAGTACAAGTATTTAGTGACGGTGGTACGGTTTTTTCCCTTACCAACTGTAGCTATGAAAAATAGATGTATCCAGTAGGTGTTTACGACGTACTATGGTGCGCAGAGCACTTTTTTTTGTGGTATGCATTTTTAATATACCTGTAGGTACATTAAAAATTATCCATATTCATTGTAATATTATTTTTATCATAATAAATGTATGTACCAGCGTTAAAAAAATAAGTGACAGTTAATTAGGATACTGGTGCAGTGATGAATTGTTAATGTTGTTACTATAAATATCAAAAGTAACCTCAAAGTGGATCATGGATGACTTTGTTAAAAATATTTTAGTGAGTTGGAAATTACAATGTCTCACTAATATTTTTTCATGAGAGTAAAATTATTCAATTACTTATTTATTTACATGAGATAATACCGTACTTAGTGTTCATATAAACTTATACCTAACGCAGTAGGAGGAGATTTTACATAACATACTTGAGCGTAGGTTTTAGACAGACGTGGTACGGGAAAAAACCGTACCAAGCTATGAAAAACTCATAACTAAGTATAGTAGAGGATTTTCAATGAACTCGGTCTTTCCGTGTAGGTTTTAGACGGACCTGGTACGGGAAAAAACCTTACCAAGCTATTAAAAACTCGTAACTGAATGTAGTAGGGGATTTTCAATGATCTCGGTCTTTCCGTGCAATGCTGTATCAACAAATTGTTTCTCACATATTTTCTGTTAAATATTAGTACTTAAAACTTTTTGAGCAGAATTAATTTTATTGGATTAGTAGGTATTTTAGTTCATTTTTTTAGTTACTACTTTTTTCAATGTTTCTGTAATGACATTTATGACTAAAAAAATTTTGATAGTAAAAAAACTTTATTATAGTCTCAAATCTAAACTAAATAAAAAATTATTCTTAGTTATTACTTTATATAGTAACTTGATCACAAAAGAAATTTTTCACTTGGGTTTTTACACATATTTTCAAGGTGTAAATAAATAATAAAATGTACAGAATGCACCAACTTATGAAACTCTGTCACGTTTAATTTTCTCATTGAAGTTTGGAAAATATAACGTTTTGCAAGTTCTTAGTATGTATGTAAGAATTTCTCCTAGGCAAACAAAACAGTTTTGTGATCTTTAGTACAGACTGTACTTACCTAATATAATGATGAGATACGAATTTTTCAATAATCTAAGGAATCTAATCTAATAGAAAACTATGTAGGTATAGTAGTCTTAAAATAACATAACACTTATATTTGAGCCAAGTTATATATTTGACTAGTTCGGTGTGTCAACATAACTATCTTAAGCCTACCTCCATAACCTTGCATTGAAATGTTGATTTATTACGCTAAATAAATATATTTCCTCACTTGCTCTTAGAACCCCTCCCTCCCACTACAGCCATTGGCTTCAAATCGTGCAGCTAGATACTTATCGTGAGCTTTTACCTCAATACAACTTTCTACTTCTGAAAACTCTTTCATTATTGGATAAACATCCTCTATTGTTGAATAATCGATAACATCAATTTTATTTCCAACAAGAACAACTGGACATCTGCTACTAGAAGCATTCTTGCGAATAAGAGGTAGCCAGTAGGATTTGACATTATCTAATGTTTCTCTGTCCCTTACAGAGTAAACAACACAAATGACATTTGCTTTGATAATTTCATTATAAAGTTGGTCTTCTGTTTGATCTAAGGCTAAAAGTTATAGAAAGTGAATCTGTTGAAAGTTGCTTGGAATTTTTACTTTTATTATACATGCAATGATTATAAAAACTTACCCGAATAATCTACAATTCGGGTTGGTACTTGTTCAGGAGTAACATCAGCAGGAATGGTTATCTCTTCTGCTTTACTAGGTACATCTTCAGCATACTCATCACTAACAAGAGAAAGAATTAAAGAAGTCTTTCCTACCCCATGATCGCCCAATAGTAGAATCCTAACATTTTTTCTAATAGTCGGCTGGGAGCAATGGATGCCAGTGTTGGATACTACCATTTCTCACAATCACGACTCACGATACAAATCTTAAATTAAGTCGCTACTTTTGTAAACATAGATTATTAATTTCATTCTTGTTTTTAAGTAAAAACTGAACAAAACAATTAACTACGAAAATTTCAAAAAGAGAGGCTGGCTACCACGACCCGGACCGATAGATAAATAAACTAATCAAGGGTGTGTTTAGACTGACTCAAAGATGTAAAAATACATTGATACTTCAATGCATACAGTTTACTTATTACATTCCCATTTGAGAAAATACTCAGCCATAAAGGCCTACGCAGTGAAAAACACAAGCATCTGCATAGGCCATAGAGATAATGGAGCTATTCACATAGACATTTATTGCTTATTTCATTGTGAACGTTCGTATTGAAAAGGGAGTTCCACTGTTCCGCTAAACTCAAAGTGAGTGAACAGACTGAACAGACCTATACATCTCGACGAATCATGAGGGTCATTAATTCTGATGAACGTGGCGGCTGGTTAAAATTTTGACCATTCTTCAGCCTCAGCTCTTGTTCTAATCGATTGTTCGTGTTCAAGCCACTTTTGGCTCGATTCGGTCCTCTTAACAAAGTATACCTATATATAGGGAACCAAACTGGTTCTGTACATATAGGTATATTTTGTTAAGCGAACCGAACCGAACCGAAAGGGGCTTAAACAAACGTAATAAGAATAACATTGGTTGGTACATTTAAGTCTGTGAAAACGTAAAGCACAACCATAGCCATATAAAAAATAGACTGCTAGTTCTGATGTATAGCGCTAAAGCACAAGTAGAAAGAGACACCACATCGAACGTGGGTATGTCTCTTTCGAACATTGCCAAAGGCGGGGGTCAGTAAGTCAGTATACTATATAGTACTCGGAAGTGGTTGAGTTTTGCCGTCTCGAAGGCCTTTCCGGTCTCTCGTCGGCTTCGTATACAACGTCATATATACTCATGTAAGGTAAAAGCACCAGTACGTGAACACTTCCTAAAATTGCACCAGTAGATTGAACAGCTTGAATAAACTATTTTCAATTTAACTGGATAAAAAAAAAATTTTTTTGATATCCTTTGATCGTTCTTTAGATAAAACAAAATTTATATATTAGTAAGTCTTCATACTCAACGAGAAAAGAATTATTTATTCGTGCAACTTGTATGAGGTGGCTTATGAGACTGTTCAGGTACAGGTACCATTAGGTTTTACCTATGCCCAGTACTCGAACACATAAAAACGATTGAAATCACTGTTAATCAATAATAATAGTATGTCAAGCCAGTCGTTATAGTTTTCATAATATGTTACCAATGAAATTAGAAAGAAATTTTTCGATTTGGTTATTTGCAATACATAATAAAAATAGAAATCAGTAGAGGGCAGCTAACATAACCTCTCTCCCATTTAATTAACATGGGATGTTCAAGTACTCGGTCAAAAATACGTATCGGTACCAATACCTGAACAAGCTGTTCATCTACTGGGTCATTGGTAAAAAAACTTTAAAATTAATTTATTAATTGTACACATGACCTAGAAAAACTTTTTTGTTTTTTTTTTTAAAGGAAAAAATATAAACTTACTGGCGCAATGACTGTTTTGTTGTTATGCAAATCAGAAATTCAATAAAAATGAGAAAACAAAGACTTTATGGAAAAAGTGTTCACGTACTGGTGCTTTTACCTTAAG